ACTGTGTCATCACTCACTGGCTGTTTTTCTCAAAAAGTTGCTCACCACATTGAAATATTAGCCCCTGGGATTGATGCAGGGAACTGTACCACTTCTGGTGACGCTTGGTCCTGTATCCAAATGTTTCGAGAGTTTAACTCGGAGCAGCCTGGGAACCTTTTGCCCAGAGAACCAACTCCCTGTGCACCAGTACTCGGTAGTGAGCTTGACCTTGGGTGACTCTTAGTGGGCAAGAAAGGCTAACCCAGAAGGACCCCATACTTCATGGAATAGCCACAACCTAAGGCATGTAACAGACTGACAGAACGCTGCTTGGCGTTCTACGGTGGGGGCATGGGACTGGATGCATGCGTTTACCACATTCGCAGCTGCGCACTAACCAGGGTGGGTTTTGCTGCATGTAAACTACGGCAGGGAGGGAGAACAGCATGTGCGAAGGCAACAGGGTGGAGATGTGACCCAGGGCGGGGCGGCAGGCAGAAGTTGACAGGACGGGAGGTGATGGTCTGAGGAGCTGCCAGGAGCGGGATGCCCAGGTGCGGAGCAAGCGCCGGATGGCAGTTGAATAGAAACAGCTGTTTATTTCAGAAAGATCGCTGTGTCTTCTTAGAAACCGCCCTCCTCATTTGAATTTGTGAGCAAAATGTAAAGCCGAGGAGACTGTCTTCAGGCTCCTGTCTTCCCTGTACAGGAGACACAGGCTTCAACTTGCCCCTCCCCCACTCCCTCCCATCACCTCCCTGGCCCTGCAGTTTTTTTTGTTTTTGTTTTTGTTTTTGTTTTTTTTTTGAACCCAGAGGTAAAGGATGGGAAGGAGGAGATCCAGGGCAACCACACTCCCTAGTTCTGACTTGAACACAGACACCATCTGGTTTGGAATGTTCCCCCAAAGGCTCAGCGTGAGGCACCGTTAGGAGGTAGTTACACTTCTACACCATCCTAGGGACTGATACTGGGGTCACAGCTCCTTTTCCTCTCTTTCCTGGCTGCAATGCTGTGAACAGGCCTCCTTGGCCACATGCTTTCCCATAATGCACTGTGCTGCCACAGGCCCAAACAAGTGACCAATGACTGAACACTCTGAAGTCAGTTGCCTCCACAAGCCTTGTCTCTCAGCTGATTATTACAGGTATTTTGTCATCTCCACAAGGCTGGCACAATCTGGGGACTTTAAAAGCAACTGACTCGTAGTCCACAGAGTGGGGCAGCCTGGGCACCTGGAGGGTTACATGTTTCCTAGTGATTCTGACGGACAGGTGTAGGGGAAGATGGAGCTATGGGTTGGGTGCCTCCGTGGATGGGAGGGGTGTCAGGGACTGTGGGACATAGTTGTCTCACCCAGGGTCCTGCTGGGACAGTTGGTTATGAGGATGCATCTGTGGTGGGGGACGGGAGAGATGGTTAGAGGAAGGGACCAGGCTTGGTCTTGGTGTCACTGTGCCTAGGAAGCCTCTGGCTTCCATGATGAGACACAGTGTATGATACGGTAGCCTCCCATAGTTCAATTTCAGTCTGTGCGCTCATCTTTCTAATGGAGGAGGGGTGGCCGAGTCTCCCTGGGGGAGGCATGCCGAAAGTGGCGGGGGGCACTCAGTGCTGCAGCTGAGTGTCTGTGTCCTTTCAACATTTGTGTGTGTATATGGGTCACATGTAGGTTCATGTTCATGTGTGTTTGCACAAATGTGTGTGGGACAGAGGTTGATGTTGGGTGACTTCCCCAAGATCTCTCATTGGATCAGGAACATGCTGGCAGAGAGAGTGGCTGGCCAGTAAGCCTCAGGGATCCTCTTGTTCCCATCTCCCCAGGACTAGGATTGCAGGTGTGTACGACCTCAACAGCTTTTTTTTTTTTTTTTTTTTTTTTTTTTTTTTAACATAGATTCTGGGGATCAAGCTCAGGTCTCCACGCTTGGACAACAGCACTTTGCTGACTAAGCCAGTTCCGGACTGCTATGCTGAAGTGGAATCTCCCAACATAAGGTGTTTGGATCACAGGGGTGAAGGCCTCACGAATAGGATTAGCATCTTGTTGAACTATGACACTGTGTCTCGCAACAGGGGCCTGCTGCCATTCCTCCTTGTGACATTACAAGGCAAAGGTAGCCATCTGTGATCAAGTGGCCCCTCCTGTCAGTACCTTGGACCTTAGCCTAAAGCCTGCAGGAAACAGTGACTCTGAAAATACATTTTACCCCAGGTGAGTGGCTTGGCAGCTGTCCCTGTGGTCGCTATAGCTGGTTCTCTAGTGAGTTCGAGCTACTTTCCCCATAGCCTGGTGAGGAAGACACACACAGACCCAAGCACGTGTGACCTCTCCGGATACTATTTATTGTTTTCAGTGCCCCCTCCACTTTCCTTCTGTCGTTTATGGATGTTTTGTTGCCTCCGCCCTCTTTGTGCACCCACTTGTTCCCTAGATCTGTAAGCTTAGTCCGGGAAAGGGTCCCACTGTTCCGAGAAGGGAAGGGGCCAGGACCCCAGGCCTCCTACCTGCTTAGACAACATTCATCCATGGCCTGGAGTTCCCACCCCGGCAGTTCCTGGTAAGTTGATCTCTGAGTCTGTGCAGCAGTTACCATGATATTGTGCCATAAGGAACACGGCTCCAACCCTCTGTGCAAAGGGCTGGGCTGACGCTAGCGTCTCACTTTTGCTTTCCGAAGACCCACGTAGGAACACAAATAGTGCTCTAAACCTTTGCTCCTGGATGGTGTCGGGGGTGCTGCTGTCCAGAAAGAACTGGACAGGGAGGTACTGCTCTCCCATGGGTAATGCTCTTTGGGGAGATGACAAATCCCCTCACAACTTCTCTCTAGACATTTCACTCCTGGGCTAGTGGGACTCCAGCTGCTCCCGATGGTCCCCCAGATGAGCTGGGCTGCTGAGAGTCATGGGTGTTCTCTGTGTACTACATCCCCAGGTTGGGGTGCATCTGTGAGCAATACCTGCGGTGACAGCACATTGCAAAGCTCAGCAGAGATGGGGTTCCCTACGGTTACAAGTCCCCAGGCAGGGTCCTCATCATTCCAGATGCTTCTGGACCTGGGTCACTCCCGGCATAGGCGTCACGCGGTTCTTCAGAGCACGTTGCTGGTTGTCAGTGGCACTCATTGTGTACAATGGGTTCACCACGGGAGGTTCCGTCTTTTAATGGCGAGTTAGCACAGTTGTCTGTTGTCACTACTGATCTTGGTGCTGATGGATTTGATGGGTCTTACGGATAACCTGTGCCGAGGTTCACGGTACTTGATGCTCTTCCCACAGGTGGTTTTGATCCAGGTGGCCCAGCATGGATGGTTCCTGCTCCAGTTCTTCTTACAATAGCTTCTCATATAGATGGCCACACCGCCTATTTCTCAGCAGAGGGTCCTGTGTGTGACATGTCTGTTGATCATTGCCGCAGAAGACACAGCACCCGCTTCTTTAGCTTTTCCTACGTTGCCCATGAACATCCCAGGTGAATCTGGGCTTGTTGGGTCCTCGTGGTTGGTATCAGCAGGATCTGGGGAGTCTCCTCATAAAGGCATGGGCTTCTGGGGGGGCTGCTCAGCCTGGGTGGGCTGCTCAGCCTGGGTGGGCTGGCTGTCACTTCCCTTGGTGTCCTTGGCCTTGTCCTCTGGGAGATTGTTGTTGCTTTTCAGCTCGCCCTGCTCACTACTGTCTACCCTAATGCTATGGCTGCTATTGGCCTTGTTGGAGGTCTTGCTGCTGGTGGAGCTGAGAAGGCCACTGCTCACCTGGTAGGACAGGAAACTGCTGCCTGGGCTAAGGACGCTGATGCTACTCAGGTTGCTGATTCTGCCGCTAGACAAACTGGTGTCACTTTTCTCCTCCAGCCTGCTGGGTGCCCTGGCCTCGACTGTTCAAACTTTGGATCTTTAACACCCTGGGTGAGGGGGTGATGAGCAGCTCACTGCTCTGGGTGCTGTCCGCCTGGGTGGTGGGCCGCTTCGTCGGCCTCACCGTGTGCTTGCTGTTCACCAGGCTGGCCTTGCTGCTCTCCTCATCGGCTACGTAGCCGCTGCTCGACAGGGTGGAGATACTGCCTGTTTCTGACTTGAGGTGCTGTGAGCTCTTCTTGAGGTTCTCAAGGCTGTGGGCCGTTCCCAAGGTGCTGTAGACAATCCTTAGAGGCTTCTGAATGGTTGCTGCATGGCTGGACCCCACATGTGGCTGGAACACTAAGCTGAGTAATGAGGGGCTTGGCCTTTGCTCTTGAGCATTCCAGACAGAAGAACCCCCTTTTTCCGCCTTAAAGGCGGAGGGCAGTGGGATTGGTTTATCCAGGAGGGGGCCCTGGGAGGCCTCTGAATGTTGCTGGTGGCCTGTCTGGGGAGAGGTGTCTTAGTGTTTGTTCTCATTGGCCAGCTTGGTTCCCATGGTGATGGCAACTGTGAGGCGGGGGAGGGGCAGGAGAACAATGCCTCTCTGATAGCAGTTGGTCACATCAGTGACAGTGACCAGCTTGGGCAGAAAAGGGGTTCATGACTATAGTGGGTGTGCTAATCACCGTGACAGAAGACCCTAGAGAAGCTGAAGGATTTGGTCCACTCTTTCTGGAAGTTTCAGTCCATTAAGGTAGCCAGCACATAGAAGCAGGGAAGACCCCTGAGCTGCAGGCTTATCCCTTTCCCCTTAGTGCCCTTTAGGTACCTGTACCATGAGGGGCTGCTTGTTGGGGTTTCTGTCCCACTGGTACCCCACAGCTGGCAAGCCCCAAAGAAAATCACACAGAGGACTCCATAAGATTATAAACTGATTGGCCCATTAGGTCAGGCTTCTTATTAGGTCTTGTAACTTATATTAACCCATTATTCTTATCTATGTTAGTCACATGGCTTGGTACCTTTCTCAGCAGGGCAGGTCACATCTTGCCTCTTCGGAGTCTGGGCAGGAGTGCGGAGGGAGCTTCCTGCTTCCCAGAATACTCCTGTTCTCATCACCCAGCCTCGACTTCCTGTCTGGTTGACCCACCTATACTTCCCGCCTGGCTAATCAGCGTTTATTTAAAACATGATTGACAGAATACAGACAATTCTTCTGCACCAGGTACCCAGAGGGATGCTGCTGACACTGAGGGCGATTTTCTTCATGGAAACACATGTGCAAACACACCTAGAGTACATTAACACTGATGCCCTAGGTGCTGCTTCCTAGAGAAGACCATCCAGTGTGTGGGAGCTGCCTTTCAGGGACAATTCCTGAGGGGCTTAGGGCCTGCTTTCCAAGCCTTTGTCCCCTTGCTGAAGGGGTTATGAGGACTGTAGAGAATCCAGTCAAGTGGGTCTCCTAATTCCTTGCCAGATCTCCAAGGTCCTGCTGAGTCAGGGCCAGTCTTATCACAGGGTTTCCTGACCTACTCTCAGGAATGCAGTCATGCTGGCCACTTCTTTCTTTCTTGAAAACTCTTTGATCTGAAGAGATGGCTCGGTGGGCAAGAGCGCTCTCTGTGCAAGCACGAGGACTTCAGCGTGGTGATATTTTGTTTGTGCTCTAACAAACTCCAATACGCTTGTCTGTAGACATTCTGGGCTACACAAGATGGATCCTGTCTAAAAGAGAAACAGAGCCAGGTGATGATGGCCCCCACTTTTAACTCCAGTTCTTGGGATTCACATGCCTTTAATTCTAACACTAGGGAGGTGGAGACAGGAAGGGATATGGCTGGGTGGAGAGAGGAAAGTAAGGTGGGAGGAGACAGGAACTCAAGCCATGCCATCTGAGGACTTGTAGAGAGACGGCGTACCTCATTTGGTGGGAGGATTTCGTCGAGGTGGGAACTAGCGACTGACTGCTCTGCTTCTCTGATGTCCAGACAAGCTTTATTTGTTAGAGCAGAAACAAAATATCACCACCCTTTAGGAAAACATTGGGTGTGGCCATGGGGAGCCTGTAATCCCAGTGGTGTAGGGGAGTAGAGGCAGGAGGAAGGCTGGGGTTGGATGGCCACCAGACTGGCTTCAAGTTCAGTGAGAGACCCTGGCTCTAAGGTGCTGAGTTACAGGGCAGGACATAGAGAGTTATAGAGCAGACACTTGATGTCCTCTTTTGACTTCTCCCCCTAACACGCATACATAAACACTGTACCTACCTACCTACCTACATATATACATACATAATATTTCTAGGTATGTAGATTACATGTAATGTTGGGTTTCAAGTTTGTCATAAGTTTGACCGTGTTCACCCCCTTATTCTCCTATTCCCCCCTTATCACCGCTCTGTTCCTGTTAGTCTCCTTCCTTCCCTCAGCTCCGTGTAACATTATACACTCACACATACACACACACACACACACACACAAAAGTTTTATGTATACATATAAAGTTTTCTGTATCTCTAAATGTGTAGGGTCTACAAACGAGAGAAAATACGCTATTTGTCTTTCTGAGTCTGGCTTATTGTGTTTTCTATGCTGACCTCTGGTTGCTGACAATACAACTTCAGTCGTCATGGCTGAACGCCACTGTGCATATACACCAATATCATGTTTTCTTTTATCTCTGTATCTCTTGATGGGTGTCCAGGATGATTCCATAACTTGACTGTTGTGGGCAGTGCTGAAGCAAACATGAATGTGTAGATGTCCATGACGTATGTTAAACTATGCTGAAATCCCATGCCACTCCAGTCAGAACGGCTATCACAAAGAAAATAACATGTTGTCAAAGATATGGGACAAAGGGACCTTCAGATACTGCAAAAAATATGGAGGCACCACAGTAGAATGCTTGCTTAGTGTGATTCCCTGGGCTTGATTGCAACAGCCCTGGAGGACCTGAGCACACATACCTGGCTACAGCCCCTCTCCCCTCACAGCACTCAAAAAGAACCAAGTTCCTCTTTCCCCTGGAGCAGGCCCCTCCAGAGAGCAAAACCCTCAATGGAGAAAGGTGGCAGGTAGGACCTGTGACCACAGTCACTTTACAATGCAAATTGGGAATGCAAATTCACCCAGCCACCATAGAAATCAGCCATTCCTTAAGACAAATACAAAACATACTAAAAACAGATCTACCATATGACCCTGCCATTCCACTTTTCTTTCTTCAAGCCCTGCCCTGCCACAGGGTGCACTGGCTGTCCCTGTTGCTCCCTGGTTTTCCTTTTGCTCCCTCTCCTCCTCTCCTTCTGATTTTAGACTAAGTGGCCCCCTCCCAGGAAATCTCCTAGAGGCCCTAGCATTCTTTACACCCCTTCCTAATCTATATTCGCACAGCATGATGAACCATGCATTGCGATTCACGGCTGGTTCCCTCCGGATGGTGACAGCTCTGAGCAGGCAGCACCTGTCATCAAGGGACACCCAGTGGGATGAGTGTTAGTGGGCGTTCATAGTTCTCTACTGAGTAACTGATTAGATTAAAAAAAATACATTGGAGAAACTGAGACAGTCATTAAGTGTTGGGGAGGAATAGAATTTGAGAGAGAGAGAGAGAGAGATGAGAAAACAAGGAGCCCTCCTTCAGGTGAAGATATTTTTTCCCCAACAGGCAGCATGAGCAGGATCTGAAGTCAAACCCCTCAGACTGTACAGAGAGCATCTTTGCTCTTTTAAGGTTCCTTGCTGACTAGTTTTATGTCAATTTGACACAATGCCCCCGTAAGGCTGGGCTGTAGGCAAGACTGTAGAGCATTCTCTTAAATGGTGATTAATGTGCGAGGGCCCAGCTCATTGCGTGTGGGGCTTCCTCTGGGCTGGTGGTTCTGGGTGGTAAGAAAGTAGGCTGAGCAAGCCATGAAGAGCTAGGCTAGCACTCCTCCATGAGCCTCTGTATCAGCTCCTGCCTCCAGGTTCTTGCCTGGCTTGTGTTTCTTACTTGGCTTCCCTCAGTGAACTGTGATTGAGGATTTGTAAGCCAAATAAACCCTTTCTTTTGTTGTTTTTGGTCATTGTGTATCATCACAGCAATAGTGACCCTAACTAAGGCAGGTCGCTTGGAAAGGAGTTGGGAGGCAGGAGGTACTGTGTTAGGAGGAAATGGTCCACTGACATTGCCTGACTAGACTAAGATGCCATATTCTTCTGTAGATCAGGAATCAGGGGTGTCTGGAAACACAATGGGTCTCACTAGTATGTGAAGGGCTGTGGCCACTTGCCCTGCCTGGAAGCCTTCTCTCTTTAGAGCTTTGCTATCTGGAGGGGCTTGTTCCAAGAAGAAGGAACTTGGCTCTTTTGAATGCTGTGGTAGGAGAGAGGCTGCAAATGGGTGTGACTAATCAGCTATTCACAACAGCCATGAAAGAGAGACTATATTCAGAGGGTCTGGGTTCTAACAATAGCCATTGATAAGTAGCTTTTAAAGGTGTTGGCAATTAATCAACTTTATATGCACAACTTCCAGCGCATTACTGTTACACCCTTGCTTTCTTCAACAGAAGAAAGATGTAAGGGAATTCTAACCTTAACATGTGGGAGATGGATGGCCCCACTGCTTTGCCTGGGGCAGGCTGGCTTGCTGTGTTTGTATCCCAGGGAGAAGAAAGGTGCTCCTTGGAGAGAGGAATGTCCAGTCTCTTGATAGCCATCAACCCTGTCACTGCTGATTGTCACTGTCATCACTGTGCTGTTTCAGGGGACTGTCCAGCTTCCATGTTCTGTACAGAGGCATCCTTTGGTCCAGAAATGGCAATCTTCCTCAGGAAAAGAAGTGGGAGGGGGTTGCTCTTCTATCTGACTGACTTTTATTCAGTCTTGGGCTCCTACCAAGGACTGGGAGGTAGAGGTGCTTGGTGTCTTTAGTGGTGAAGCTTGGCATAAGGGACATGGTGGATTGATGAACCAGCCTGCTTCCATCTTAGGCTTGAAGGCCATCTTATAGTAAAGACAAAATATGTTTATTCCTGGTTATGGTGAAATCTATTTCTCAAGGATTGGGCCATCTTAACTACAAATGGTTCTGTGTTGCCTGTTCCAGAAAATGGCAACCCTGCCTTAGTTTCAAAAGGTTGTTATGACCAACTGGTTATGCTATATTCTGTTTCTGTAACCTTGCCTATTTGCCAAATTCCCCATTTGGAAATCCCTACTCCTGAACTATATAAACCTTACTTTCCCCATGGTCAATATTGATCTCTTGAACCCAGCTGTTAAGGAGAGACAGTTGTATTCACAAACAAAATAGCTTGTTTTAATTAATTTGGCCATGATGATTTGGGTCAGTGGTCTTTCTCCTTGTATTTGTGGGATTAGCAGGATCCAACAATGTAGGCAGTGGGAGCTGTAGTGGAGACTTGCCTGTGAGAAGCAGAGGGGGAGCACTGCATAGGTGGTTTAGGGATTCTTTCCTCCCCAACCTCTTTTCTTTTCTCTCCTCCTCCTCCTCTTCCTCCTCCTCCTCCTCCTTTTCTTTCTTCTCCTCCTCTTCTTCTTCTATATTGGACAGGTCTCCTCTTTCCCAGGCTGTCATCAAACTGTCCTTGTAGCCAACCTTAACCTTCACCTGTTCCTCCTGCCTCTGCCTGAGAGATGAATTACAGGAGAGCATCACCATACTTGAGTTTTAGGTGATCCTAGAATTAAGCCCAGGGATTCATGCTGGGCAAACATTCTACTGAAGCTCTCATAGCTGGCTTTCCATAGATGAATAACCATGTGTCTGGACACTGCCAGTGTGTGTTCTACAGGGTTTAGTTTTTTTCCCCCAAAGGTTCTTATGTTTTCTTGTCATGCTTATTCCTACACTAAAAAGTCTCAATGTAAAGTGTCTGGAAAGGACACTATAATTTCTCATATTCTGAGGAAGAGAGCAGCACTCAAGTTAACTTCAGAAAACTGGCCCTTAGCTGCAACCTTCTAACACAACATCCATCCTCAGCACTGCCGCAGAGACATTTGCTGTCCCAGGCATAGGGTCCCTAGCTTGTTCACTAATCCACATTAATGTCTAGATTCTTATTCCATCTTTCCTTCCATAAGCATTCATGAGGTCTTACTCAGTGTTAGGTAGGGCATTATTTCCTGCCTTCAGTGAGTTGACAGCCATGGAGGGAGGCAGACAGGAGTGAGTGAGCAGATGTGTTATGGGCGAATAAATGTTAGGAAAACACTGAGGTAGAACGAGGGAGGTGTCTGTGTGTGTGTGTGTGTGTGTGTGTGTGTGTGTGTGTAAATGCTTGTATCCATTCCTGCAATCAGAACAAGCAAGTTCTAGAGGTGGAGGTCATATGGAAGCCACAAGGAGGGTGAGAGTGTGTTCTGGGAGGGCTTTGGCATTTCTTTGGAGTGCCCTGGGAAATGCTGGAACTTTCCAGCAGATCTAGCTTAGGATGTCCTATGAAGGATAGTCTGGATCATATCTAACCCTTTCTCTTCCTCTCCAACTCTTCCTGGACCCATCTACATTCCCCCTTTTCCTTTTAAAAATAACTCGAGTCAAATTAGTACTACTTCTATGTGTATGTGTGTAAGGTACCATTCACTGGAGTATGGGCAACCTACCGTGTATCACACGGCTTAAGAAAACTGACTCGTCCTTCCTGGAAGCCATCCGCTACCAATAGCTCCTCAGTTAAGTGTGGGACTTCATGAGTCCCCATTCCATCCATACTCATGTGTTTATTGGCTTCATCTTGAGCCGGTCTTGTTCTGGCAATACTGCTGCTCTGAGTTCATGAGTACAATGGCTGTCATTCCCAGAAGACCTAATATTCCAAAGAATCTCCCCTACCTCTGGTTCTTACATGTTTCTGCCCCCTCCTCTGTGATGCCTCCTGAGTCTTGGTCAGAGTGTCAGGGGACTTTTCAAATGACAAACCCTCTTTGCTTCAGCACCCACTAATGGGGAGTACCTGCCTTCCCCCAAAGTTCTCTACAGAGTGTTCATAAGGAAGACTCTCCCCTGTCTTCCTCTGATGCATATTCTTCTCCCCCAGCGACCCCCTCCTGTTGAACCGCAGTCTGGGCAAGTATCTTCAGTACTTCCTTATCAAGTCCTAAACACACTCTGTACTTTGTTCACTTCAGGTGCTCAGCAAGAGTAGCCTTACACACACTGATTCAACAATGTTACAGGAGGGCCACTTGTTTTTCCTGGCCGCCTGGCTAGCTTACACCCGAAATAATCACACAGAAAGTGTATTAATTAAAACACTGTTTGACCATTAGCTCTAGCCTCCTACTGGCTAACTCTCATATCTTGATTTAACCCATTTCTGTTAATCTATGTTCACCATGAGGTCATGGCTTACCAGGAAAGATTTAGCATGTCTGGCCTAGTGTCTCCATGGCAGCTCTCTGACTCTGCTTTCTTCCTCCCAGAATTTAGTTCTGTCTTCTCCACCTACCTAAGTTCTGCCCTATCACCAGGCCCAAAACAGTTTCTTAATTAATCAATGAAACAGCACAAAGACAGAAGGACCTCCTATACCATTTCCCCTTTTCTGTTTAAACAAAAAGGAAGGCTTTAACTTTAACATAGTAAAATTACATATAACAAAACAGTTATCAAGTAAGAACTACAGTTACCATATTTATATCTACTTTATCTTTTATCATAACTAAGGAAGACTATAATTATAACTATCCATTCTTCAACTCCATCAAAGACTCCAGAAGGATATAATATTACCTAAGTAAACAGGAAGTACATTGTAAGCAATGTCCAAAACTCTAGAAATGATAGAGACATCTTGGTGCCTGGACAGGTTACCCAAAGTTTTTTTGTACTATTGGGGCATCCATCTTTAGCCTACAGGCCCATAATATCCAGCAGACTTTTCCATGAAGCAGGAAATTTCAAAGACAGTTTAGTCACTTTTTTCTGTGTCCTGTAGAATGTCCCACAGACTCTTTTATGAATCAGGAACCCCAAAGGATCATCTCACCATTTGGCAAGTTTAGTAGTCATCTCTCTGCGAGTTCTTCATGTCCAGTTTGTGCAACAGTCCAGGCGAGAGCAGTTTCTTGCCCAAATGGCTAACCGACTCCATAAGGAGCCTCTTTGATGCCCATCTTCCTCAGAAAGTAGCTTGGTGCTGCCAGGAGCAGACATGTCTCATTGTCATGAAAAGCCCCAAGTTATTAAAACATTTTAAATGCCATATTCTGTAGTCTTTGAAAGATATGAAGAATGGCTATCTAACTGAAATATACCTCTATATATCTAAAAAATCTAACTAACATGACTACAAGCTTGATTATTATCAATGATTATCCATTAACAACCTATATTTCCTAATTATACATTACATTTTATACAATCAGAATACCTTAATCAAGAGCAGAAATATACATACAACAAGATTGACCTTAAGTTTATATCAATAAAGCAAAATCCATACCAATGCAAATTATTCATATCTATATCATATCCCCCTTTAAATGTAAACAGTTATAAACAATATTTGGGAATATGGTCGCAGGAATTTATTAACCAATGAAAGCAACACAAATACAGAAGGACCTCCTACACCACAAGAGTAGCCCTGCACACACTGGGTCAGCTAAGAGTAGTTCTGTACATATTGGGTCAGCAAGAGTATCCCTGCATACACTGGGTCAACAAGAGTATCCCTGTACACACTGGGTCAGCAAGAGTATCCCTGCACACACTGGGTCAGCATGGGACTGGTACCTGATCTCAGTCTGAAGGTTCCTCTAGCGTCACAGCTGGAGTTCCATGATGGCTTGGAGAGCTGGCTCTGTGGAAGCCATTGTTTACCTTCCCTGGGCTGTCTTGTTTACTCCTCAAATAGCTTTATGAGGTGTCAGGATTGTCATTTCCATTTTGCAGGATGAACAATAAGCAGAGAGACTTGTCTGTTTGTTCAAAGACACACAGTTGATAATTCTGCTCTGTCTGTGTCTTAGTTTAGGTTCCTGTCAAGATAAAACACCAACAGAAGCAGCTTGGGGAGGAAAGAGTTCATTTCAACTTAAATGTCTACAGCATGGTCTATCATCGAAGGAAGCCAGGGCAGGAACTTAAGGTAGGAGCTGAAACAGAGGACATGGAGGAATACTGTTTACTGGTTTGCTACGCATGGATTGCTCAGCCTGTTTTCTTATAGCACCCTGGACCACCTTCCCAGGTCTGACACCACCCACAAAGGCTGGGCCCTCCCACATCAATCATTAATCAAGAAAATGCCCCATACATATACTTGCCTACAGGCCAGTCTGGTGGGAACATTTCTCTTCTTTCCAAGTAACTCTAGCTTGTGTCAAGATGACAAAGCACCAGTCATCAGTCTACAGTGCAGCCCATACTCCTAGATAACTTGCTGAGGCTGGGAGATGCCTTGTCACAGCGTTACGAGCGCCATCTTGGTACCGTAGCAGTAGTTGCCTCTCAGGTCTGCTTGAGACTGAAGCATCAGCGAATGGATTCTGGACCCCTGCTTCCTTCTCATTTTTTTTTATTGCTTTGCAGAAGTAAAAGGAGCAAAACCACAAAGACCCCGACGTACTCAAGCTGCAGACCAAGAAAAGGCATTCTGATACATCTCAATGTGGTTTGCATTCTGAATGTCTCCAGTGGTCCATGTGTCAAAGGCTTGGTTGTCAGCCTGCCACCACTGCTACTGGAAGATGGTAGAGTCTCTGGGGGCCGAGCCTGGTGGTGGGAGGCATGCCCTTGCAACATAGCCCTTTCTTTGTTTCCTAGCTGTCCCTAGGTGAACAGGTCTTCACGTGCTCCCACCATAGTGTACGGTGGGTGCAACAACAGGCTCCGAACTGTGGGATCACAGATGGAAACCATGAGTCAAAGAAGCCTTTTCCCGTTGAAAGTGTATTTTCCTCAGGTATTTTGCCACAGTGATGGTAATCTAACACATGCTCCCAATCTGTTTACTCCTATTGTGTGTCTCCATGGCAATCCTAAATGCAATGCTCAGCATTATCATGCATGTCTTTATATCTGAAGTATGAAAGGAAACCCCCAAATCCACAGGAGAGCTTTTCCTGCCACTCATCGGGATGTAAATGGCTTCCTTTGCATACCCTCCCACAAATTGTGTTCCCTATCACATTTACGTGATCATCAGTGCTCACACATACGTCTCACCCTCACGACAACTACCGTGCTCCATTGATGAGTACCATCATCTACTTATCCCACTGACGAGCATTCAGGTCACTTCCCTCCTTCTCCATGATACACAAATATTCCTTGAAGTGTCCCCTTCCACTGTGTTCTTCCTGAGGCTTTCTGAGAATCCTTAACAGAAGATGAAACTTTGGTTTGTTTTAATTGTACCGAATGTACACAGCAAACATGTCTTCCCATCCTTTGGGACTCATCTCTGAGTCCTATGAGGTCCAGCTTAGGCGTGGGAGGAATGAGCAGGATGTCTGTTGTCTGTTATTTGGTCGTAAAATAAAGACATTCCAGGATGTCCATGTTTAGCTTTGACCAAATGAGAGATCACAGAGCTAACTTACTAGAGCAGGGATGGGAATGGGGTCGGGGAAACAGCAACTGGGAGGAGGCTCAAAGGTGACAAGCCACCAAGGACATCTTTATTCCTCTTTAAGGGTGATCCTGCAGCCTAGCATGCCCTGAGCCTTGTCATTCTTCCATGCTCTCAATTACGGATTCTCTGTAGATGTGGAGGTGGGAAGGGGAAGAGGGGACAGAGCTATTGTAAGGGAAATAGCTATAAGGAAAAATCTAAAGTGACCAAGGGGTCAAGGTGTGATGCTGTCCTTAGATAGTGTGGGACTATGGTCTGTATTCTGTCAATTATATTTTAAATAAACGCTGATCGATCAGTAGCCAGGCAGGAAGTATAGGTGGGACAACCAGACAGGAAGTAGAGGTGGGCCAATAAGAACAGGAGAATCCTGGGAAGAAGGAAGCCCATTGTTCTGGACTCCTGGCCCAGACACAGAAGAAGCAAGATGTGACTGCCTCGCTGAAAAAGGTATCGAGCCATGTGGCTAACATATACTAGAATAATGGGCTAATTTAAGTTATAAGAGTTAATAAGAAGCCTGAGCTAATGGGCCAATCAGTTTATAGTTAATATAGACCTCTGTGTGATTTCTTTGGGACTTAACAATTGGGGGAAACGGGCAGAACAGAAACCCTGACAACACATGGATGATCATGAGGCCTGCCTGTACAGCAGGGTAAATGGGAGTTTGCTCCTATGAGGCCACAGGTCCAAGTTCAACTCGCAATTCTGACACTTAGAAGCCATGTAATTTTGGGCATGCTTCTCACTCTTTTGGTCTCTGTTTGGAGTCACTAAAAAGCTTGCTTGGGAGAAGGGCTTGGAACCAGAAGTTTATATGGGAATTGATCCCAAGAGGTCCAGTAAGCAAGACAGGGGAGAAGGAAAGCCAGGAAGGGACCTTAGGGAGAAGCATATGCCACAAGAGCCTGGTCCTGTGGGAGGTGCCTCATTGACCTGGATGCTGCCCACTGCGGCTGTTCCCATGGAGAGACCTATTGGACTTCTGGCTTTTTCTGAGTATGCTTGGGTGACATCAGAGGAGGTCTGGAGGCAGATACAGGTTAGGTCAGAAGGCATCAGGCAGGATCCTGGGACCCTCAGACTCTGATCTTGAAGGTTGCAGGACACCAGAGGAGTCTGCTGGAGTTGTCCTCTCTGTAAATGATGGACTGACTGCTGTAGGCTGTGGTAAGGGGTTTTATGAGGCCAGTCATGGTATACAGAAGGCACTCAATAAATGCCACATGTTAGGACTCTGTGTTATACTGCGTCAAGGGCACAGCAGGCCCTGCAGAAGCGCAAGGCTGGGGAGATGGTGTGAAACATCTGGCCCAGGCTGCTAGGGTCGGGGCCATGGTTTGTGACCCCAGGATGTGAGGTCTTCCCAGGATACTCTACCTCCCATTGCTGGGTGTGGGATTCAGGCCCAGAGATGCTCCACTTCCCATAAGTGTATATACTGTGTCTGTCTTCCATGTCCACTTCAGGCAAGACACATGGACTGACGTAGTGTATCTCAGAGGACTGAAGAGAGAGAGCAGCCACTCTGGCCAGCTGATGGTCCAGCACAGGACACACAAAGGGGTGAGCACTTAGGATCAGGCTATTTTTTTTTCATTTAGCACAATTTGGAGGTGTCTAGAACATGGATCTTTAGGTTATGAAGCTAGACAGTTCTGAACAGAGCTACAAGTCACTCACCCCAGTGTGAGGGAGGCCATATGCACACAAGATGCCTCTGAAGAGCTAACGTGTCTGATTGTTCTCCTCACACTGAGACACCCACAAGTGAGAGAGTCAGTGAGGTAGACCAAATAGTGAGAGAGGCCACTCTGTTTTTAGAGGACTCTTAGGTCCTTGTGACAGATGGAGGCCCCACTATCCCTGTTCCCAAGCAGGCTTTGCGGCAGGCTCCACAGTGTGGAGTTTGGTGTGGAATTTAGGGTTAAATCCAGGCTCTTGCCAGTTGTGTCATACAAGTAAATTCCCACCCATCTCAGCTCTAGTTTCTTCCTTTGTAAGACAGGTAGGCCTGTTCAGTGTGAGTTGTGACACCCTTGAGCCTCGGAGGGAGTGTGCCCACTGTCCCTGCTGTGCTCCGGGTGCCTAGGAGAGGCGCCAGCCTTCTGCAACTTCGGCGGCACTTGCTGAGTGGATAACCTGAGGATGACTTGGCTGTCGCTGTCCTTGGCACTCTTTGTGGGCAGTCTAGGGCGGACTGGATTTGTTCATTTGGGCTGGGTTGAATGAGAAAGCAGGGCTGCATTTCACCTGAGTAAGGAGTCCCTGGCCTGTGTGCAGCAGGGTTAGCATTCAGCACCACTCTAGTGACCCTGTGGAGGGCACGCAGGTTGAGGAGAGTCTCAGAGAGGTGGAGCCTGGTCAGGCCACACACAAGCAGTGCCAGTTATTGAGGAAAGACAACAGTATTCTGGAAGGGCAGGATGGGATGGCGAACAGTTGCTCAGGCGCTGCAGGGGTCTGGGACTCCACCACCCAGAATTCCTCCTAAGAGATAGGTTCCTTTGGGGTGCAGATGGGGAGCATCCCTGATCATCTATAGATGAGAAATGAAAACATCTCCAGGGGACAGCTAATCATCACACAGTCCCCAGACTCACTTGGATATCTGCTCTGTGTCCCCTCTCTGTTCTGTGTCCTCTATTTCCCCCCTCCTCAGTTCTGTGTCTGTCCTGCCTCTGCTGTGTCTCCCCAGTTCTCTCTCCCCTCAACTCTGTGTCCTCTCTCTGCTCTGTGTTCCCCCCTCTGTTCTGTGTCCTCTTCTCCACTCTTTGTCCTCCCCCCTCTGCTCTGTGTCTCCTCCCTGTTCCCCCCCCCCCCCCCGCTCTCTGTCCTCCCTCTGCTCTGTGCCCCCCCCCACTCTGTGTTCCCTCTCTGCTTTGTGTGTCCCATGCTTCTCAAGGGCTTCAAACTTCCTTACTTGTGGCCTGTCCTGGAATCTAGGAGCTCAAGGGTCCATCTCATCAAATTATCCCTCTAGGTTTGCAAAGATGTAGAATTATTGGCAGAAAATGAGGATGTAAACCCCCCTGGATTCCGAAGCTTTTTGGGGGTGCTAGGCATAGAGCACTTGGATGCCTTCCAGCCCACTCATTCCTTTTTAATGGTCCCGGATGATAGTTCAGCTGTTTAACTCAGATGAGGTGACATAATATCTCTCCTTTGGACTTATTACTGACGAGGCAGCAGCCATCGGGCTCCTCGTACCCTCCCGGCAGGGCATTCTGTCATTAGGGCCTGTTTTCTGTCTTTGGGTAAATTGAAAGTCCTAGGAAGAGCTGTAGCCTCGAAAGGAAGAAATCGACAGAGAATAGGTCACAACGGGCATTAAGGAATGAAAATGAATCTGTTCTTTTCTCCATTGGATGAGCGGCTGTGCTAGCATCTGTCTCTGTGGTCCATGAAATCGGCTGCCAGGGAAATAGGAAGTGTGCTGCTCCTGAACTTCTGCAGAGTCTAGTCACCTTGGAGACAGCGGTGCTGACCTGGGCAGGGCCAGTGGAAGAGAGGTGCACACTCTCTGGGTGCCTACCCTAGCAGGGACACCCGAGCTTCACAGTGCAGTTATCGGACATGGGAGCCGTACTTTACTCCCATTGTCTAGATGAGAACACCAAGGTTCAGAAAGATCCAGAAGCTTAGCTCAGGCCCTTTGCGATGGAGCCTGACTTCAGCTTGAGGTATTGAGCACACACCTCATGAAGCTGGGAACTTGTGTTGAACAACCCCAAAGCTTGAATCTCTCCACGTACAGGGTCCTTTCATGCAAAGTCAGCTTCCCACACCGCAGAAGTCCACACTTACCCGTGGGGGCATCCAAGAGCTTGAGGCTCGGAGGAGGGAATGCGCAATTTACGTACACACATGCGCAGGAGTAGGGTGAGTTGGTACCACTATTTCCGTATCTCACACCTCATTGTCAGAGCGTGGGGTAGAGTGCAACTGGGCGACAGTGGGAGTCTGTGCCCCTGGAGTCTGTGCCCCTGGAGTCTCTGACCTTGGAGTCTGTGCCCCTGGAGTCTCTGACCTTGGAGTCCTCTTTTGCACAGTTTGAATCTGAGATTGCCTCCCCCGCCCCAGGCTTAAGAACCTTTGTTTCCAGCTGGTAGCATTGTTTAGGGGAGCTTGAGGGACCTGGCAAGTAGAAGTGGATCAAGACCCATCAGTAATTTGAACCAAAGTAAGAAAATGGACCCCCGTTTCAGAAATGGTTTCAGGTTTTAGATCATGGATTTGTGAAAACGCTACAAGTCCTTTCTTTACAAAAGAAGGCAAGAAGTCTGGGCTGGGGAAGGGCAGGCAGAGGTCAGTGCGGACACCCCTCTCACCGCTTCCTTTGATTCTGCAGCGTTTCCCACCTCCCTCCATCAGCTTTCCCTGATACTTCATTCTCATTTTCTCCTCTTAGCCCTGGAACTGTGGGGACAGTTCCCCGCTGTATCCTTGGTGCTCAGCTGAAGGGAGAGAGCTGCTGGACCTCCTAAGTGCAGGCCCGCGTGCCACAGTGAAACGTTCTGCATCTTGCTCATTGTGAACGTATACAGATCTATATTTTTGAGACAAATTCTTGTTATATAATCCAGTCGGACCAGGACAGTCTTGAGCTCACGATGGAGCTCACTATGTAGTTTAGGCTACCCCCAAGCTCGGGATCCTCCTGCCTCTTGCTTCCTGAGTGTTGGTATCACAGGTGTATGCCACCCCAGCAGGCCACTGTGGAGATTTAAAATTGACTTTTACTATTAACAGTCTTATATTAAAGTACTTATTATTTTGGTTGCTTGATTTTTGGTGCTCTCTGAATAAGTTTCTTTCTTGCTTCACCCTACTCCTTCCCTGTGTAGATCACACAGTGTCATGGAGCAACAGTCAGTACAGATTACTACAATGAATGCCTCTCTGTGACGTAAGGAGATCACTTCCAGAAAACAGATATTTCTGCACCCCATGGCTGTTCAATATTCTTTGCATCTGAAGGAAGCCAGAGCCCCAATCGGATCATTGTAATATGGGGGTAGTTGTGATTTCTGGTGCTAACAAGTGGGGAACAAGTGAGTGTCCTGACCAGGGCCTGGTGCTGCAGCAGATTTGAACTTAGATATTGAATGTAAATAGAGGGGGTAAGAGACCCACAGCCCCAAGATCTCCAGGTCCCTTCTCTTAACTGCAACAGTACCTCCCCTCTGGAGACAGAGACCCACATCGGAGCACTGGACTGAGCTCCCAAGGTGCAGTTGAAGAGCAGAAGGAAGGAGAAGATGAGCAAGGAATATGAGCAACCCTGCGAGGGGTTGGTCCACCCACTGAGACAGTGTGCCTGATCTAATGGGAGCTCACCAAAGCCAGCTGGACTGGGACTGAACAAGAATGTGATCAAACTAGACTCTCTGAATGTGACTGACAATGAGGGCTGACTGAGAAGCAATGATAATGGCACTGGGATTTGTCTCTACTGGCTTTTTGGGATCCTAGTCTATTTGTATGCACACCTTCCTAGGCCTGGATGGAGGGGGAGGGCCTTGGACTTTCCACAGGGCAGAGTAGCCTGCCCTCTCTTAGGACTGGAGGGTGAGGGTGAGGGTAAATGGGGGAGCGGGAGGGAAATGGGAGGAGGGGAGGAAGTGGAAATTTTGAATGGTATTATTTATAAAGCAATAAAAATTTTTAAAAAAGAGCCACTTGGGTTTTAGTGACAGTCGTTAGCTTAACGAGGTCTGGTTGTGTGGCCCGACATGTCACGCTCTCACCGTGGTGGGCACCCTGGACGCCTCAGTTGCTTTTCTGTTCTGCTGCCTTGGATGCTTCGCTTCAGAACTGCACCAGACCTCACTGCCACTTTTGGTTTTTGTTCTCTCTAAAGCCGAGGCTTTGTCGAGACACATTCTTATAATTAAGGCAAGAGTGAGAAATAACCTCCTATATAATTTAAAACGGTAAAAATTATCGATACCTTTTCTGGCCTCGGCTTTAAATCTTTGCCACCAATGACGCGCCTATTAACGAGCCTAATTAAATCCATTTTTCAGCACGTCTTTGGCAAATTCCATTTTAGCAAAACTGTAGGAAGTTCAGTTTGATTTGTCTCTATTCCCCTAGAGCTTACCTACAAAAACGAGGGCTAGGTGGATGCTTGATTCTCTGTCCTCTCTGTACTGATTCACCCAACAAATATCTATTTATTGGACATATACTATATGCCATGGCACCAAAAGAGAGGAAGTGAATGGGGTGACACAAAGATGACAAAGTTTCCATGGCCATGGAATAGAGATAATTCACTCAACAAACCTATACTTAGTTTAAGGCAGGCCACACTGTGCTGGGTGCTAGGGTTGTGGGGATGAAGGACCCTGATTCTCCAGGTTAGAGTGTGTTCATGGCTACAGGGGTGTGTGGCCAAGGAGTTTCAGTCTCCTGGTAGTACCTGGGTTACAGGTTTAAGCTGTGCTTCATGTGACCTAATTCCTCTAGATGGCTTCTTGAAGTTTCCAGAACCTCCCCAAATAGCACAGCTATCCAGACTTCAAGCCTTTAACACACAGACCTATGAGGGAACAACTAATATTCAAATCATGGTGTGTGTGTGCTGGTCAAGGTGGGGAGTGGGGTCACTTGGGTGACTGGGTGGAGGGTTGCAACATTAGTCAGAGAAGAGTGAGAGAGATTTGATTGACAGCTAGAATCATGATCTGATGTTTGGGACCCTGCTGGATAGGAGCAAGGTGGTGGGGAGCCACCTGTGACCCATACTGGGAAGGTAGCATCCTTAAGGAGGGTATAAGCTCCAAAGAAGAGAAGAAGGCCCAAGGGTGGGGAGCATTTAGGGGTATCAACATTGAAAGGGTAGTTAGAATATTTGGGTAGGGATGGCAGGTGGAAGAGCTGAGAGGGTGACCTGAAGCCAGGGACAAGAGCTCTGAGAGGAGAGTGGCTCATACTGAACGTTGTAAGGAAATCAAACACAAGGAAAGATGGTATTCACATCATTATAAGTCAGTTTGGGTGAGCCACTGAAGGAACTTGGAAAAAAGGGCTGTCCCAGAATGGCCCCAGTTTCTGCTCCATGTGACCTCTCAGAATCCAGGCAGAGAGGACAGATGAACAAGGACTCTGAAGTGAGCTTGGCTGTGTGAGGAAGAGGGCAGAGGTTCATGTGCCTGGGACAGTGGTGCAGGGGACTAGCCCAAGAAATCAAAGGGGAGTGGAAGGTGATTTAGGGATCGTGAAAGATAGGGAGGTGTGGGGTGGGGTGGGGTGGGATGGGGTGATACCAGGAGCTCCTTGTAGAACATTAAACGTAGATGTTAGATTTCTTCTCTATGTCTGCTTTAGTACTCCAGGGTGGCTTCCTTGGAGGAAGCTCAGCCCTTCTCTTGGTTCCACTGGGGTGGGGGGCTTTGTTCCTGTCATGCCTACCTGACAGTGCCTAATTTGGGGGGAGGGAGAATGAGGACCATATTTTTTTTTTTGTTGTAGAAGATTACCTATGCTAACATGTAATGATATATTATTTTATATGTTCATATTTAGCTGATGATGTCATACATTTTGACAGCTTTTTTTTTTTAAAAAAACCCCCCAAACCTCAAGGACAGCATTTATAGGGTTTAAGAGAGAAAAACACCTTCCAGCTAGGTGACAATTATGCATGTATATGTGACCTGAAAGTAGATGTGAAGGTGTCCAGGGACAAGGGGCGGGGAGGGTCTTGGAGCGGAAGGGTAGGGGGCATGGGAGGATGATTCCAAGTATATTCATTGGATTTTGAGGTAGTGTTTCTCACTGAACCCAGAGTTCCCTGGTGGCTCAATGACTGGCCAGTGATCTTCAAGACACTGTATGTCTCCCTCCCCTCCTCTCCTCTCCCCTCTTCCAGCACTAGGGTTCCAGGGGTGACCCACCATGACTGACTTCCATGTGACTGCTGGAGATGGAACTGAGGTCCCCAGTGGCAGGTCCTTTACCAGCCAGGCTGGTCTTCCCACTAATTCCACCTTGAAGGCTCCACCGTTAATGGCCTCAGCTTAATTTCCACAGATGGAATGCCCAATTTATGGGCAGTACAGTTTTAGAAAACCAGAAAAATACTCATTTCTGGAAGTCTGTAGCCGATAAAGCATCAACCCTACGAGTGCTAGAGGAACAAACACGGGCCTCTGGCATGTCTGTGGGTGGTTGGGAGGTCTGAGAGTCCTGGTGCGGACCCCAGCCACAAACCCGTAGGCCTTAACTTGAAACTGTAACTCCAAGATCATTTTCTTCTCTCTAGAAAAACCCTGTGGCATAGGGTGTGGGTGGGGTTAGCGGGTAAGAATTTAGACCTCGTTTCAATAGTTTCTGCAACTGTGGGCAATATACCTGCTTTTAGAAATGCAGAAGAGAAAAATCAATATTTCGACTCTCACAACCAACTACGCCACAGAAGTGGCAATTCTGTCCTCAGCGTGTCTGCACGGGTCTCTAAACAGGGCGGCAGAGTCTGGGGTAAGGGAGGCTCGTAAAAATGACCGATGCAGATATTAATGATTTAATCTGCTAACGTGGCGTGGCTGCCTCAGAGAATCCCATTCGTCAGCGCTCAGGGCCCTCGGAGGAGCCGTGCAAGCGGCTGGTTGCAGGAGGTGGCAGGAACGAAGATGAATCACAGAGTGCAATATTGATTCGCCCCGCCTGCAGCCACCTCTGTTTGGAAATATGGAAAGCAAATTAATGAATAAATGAGCTGGCTTGGTGAACCGTGCCCCGCTGGGAGCGCTGGTATTTAAGCTGTATACACCAAACAGTCTCTAAGAAGGGGCTGGGAGCATGGGTTGGGGGATGCATGCAGCTCTCGTCTGCCAGGGAGTAGGGTCTGGGGATGTTGCCAGTCAACTCCCCTTCTCTCTTTTTGGAAACAGAGTCTTGGTATCTTGCTGCATCCCAGGCTGGCCTGGAATTTACTGTTCTGCTTCGGTTTCTCTGGTGCAGGGTTCACAGGTGTATGTCGCCACAGGTGGCCTTCTCAGTTCCTTCCTCAGAGGAGAGGGCCGAGTGGGAGGATTCAACTAGACAGTGTATGTCTTTCCTGTAGCCACTCCCGAAATATAATTCCTTCTCTTTTTAAAGACTGTGTGCATGTGTGTGTTGCATGCACGTGAGTGGGCAGGGGAGTGTGCCACTGCCCACACACTTGGAGAGCAGGGGAGGACATGTTTTCCTCTGTCACTCTCTCCCGTCTAAGCTGCCTGGCCAGCGAGCGCCCAGTCTCTGCACTGGAGTCACATCCACACCCAGCCTTTACTGATTTTATTTTAGAGATTATCATATAATGAATTCACATACATCATTTCTCTCTTCTCTTTCCTTCTCCCAGACATTCCCTTCTACCCTTCCTTGCTTGCTTTCAAATTCCTGGCCTTTTATCCCCGTTAATAATTGTTACAAACCCACACTCAAACACATACACAGACACACACCTAGACACACACACACACAGACAGACAGACACACACAGACACACACCACAGAGAGACAGACAGACACAGACAGACAGACACACATAGACAGACAGACAGACAGACAGACAGACAGACGTACACATGCACACACAGACTCCTAAGTAGAATGTGCTTGGTCTGTACGATCCTCCTTGTATGTGTGTTTTCAGGGCTAGCCACTTGGCACTAGACAGCCTATTGGTGTGCTCTTTTCTGGGGAAGGAGGTTTGCCCCGTTCTCAGCATTCTTTAGTTAGCTGTAGTTCTTTGTGTAGGTTGAGGCCACGGGGCTTTAGTGCCCCCACCTCCATACTCACACATCCATGTCTTTGTTGTCCTTTTACAGCTCACTTTTGGGCAGTCGTGCTTGTGAGACTTCATGCGTGCAGTTTCTGACATTACTAGGAGACATTGTCTCCTAGCAAACTTTCTGATCCTCCGGTCTACAATCTTTCTGTCCTGTCTTACACAGTGTTCCCTGAGCCTTAGGTGTGGGAGTTATGTTGTGGATATGTCCATTGTGACTGGGTTTCACATCTCTGCGTTCTGATTGGCTGTGTTTTTCTGTAATGGTCTCTGTCTTTTGCAAAGAGAAGCTTCCTTAGTGAGGGGTGAGAACTGCCCTTACATCTGAAGGTTTGAGCTTTTAATGTAGGCGCGGGGATTCAAACTCAGGCCCTTAGGCTTGCACAGTTAAGTACTAAGCTATACCAAGCTATCTCCCCAGTCCTAGCTTTACTTTATCTTTTAACTGAAAAAAGTTTCAAACAATATTTTATGAT